CTTAGGTTCCCGGCCATCTTTTCCCCGACACAGGAGGCCATTCTGGTGCAAGGTTCCCTCGTCCAGCTCGGGGACGAATGCGTGCAACTAGCAGCCACTGACATAGCAGAGGTAGACCACCTGCCAACGGTGGTGTGCCGCTTAAGCCTGTACCGTGACGAGTGCAAGTCTCCCTGGGACCAGATTACGGACGCCCCCATCAGAGCATTGCTTCAGCAGGTGCCCGAGCTTCAGGTGTGCAAGGCGACGACGTGCGATCAGTGTTGCCCCGCTTTTCATGCGGCTGTTGACGAGGTGGTTGACCACCTTTTCCTGGATGTGTGGGCACGCCAGTGGTGCAGGCTGTCAGGGGGGAAGGCCAAGGCAGGCGAGGCTGAACTCTTTCAAGCTTTTGTCCGGGTGCCATCTTCGGCGCTGCCGCACCTGTTCAAGGTTACCTTTCCAGGGCTTTACATTGAGCCAAGAGCAGCCGATGGCTCAGGGCCACACAGCGCATGGGCGGTGGTTTGGCTCCCCGGGGCCAACGCGGCACAAGCATTGCACTCCTTGAAGACGACATCAAAGGCGGTGGCACTGACCAGGCTAGGCGCTAAATACGGCCTCCGCACCAAAGAGGCAGATGAGCAGGCGGTCTTCGAAGCACTGAGACCGCAGCATCAGTTCGTCAAGGTGCGCATCATTGCCAGGTACAGGCTGCATCCCTTGCCGCACGGCTTCCAGCGGCACAATCTGGTGAATCTGCTCAAACAATGGTCCTGGAACTGTCGGCCTCTCCAGCCGGACCGTGGTGACGCCACCGGCTGCGCGTGGCTTGTGGGGGCGTCGTGTGAACCCCCGGCCCAGGCCTTACCGCTTGGCACAGGTTATGTTTTGGCCAGCAAGGTCAAAGATGTCGGGAACCCAAGGCCACCCTCCGCGGCCATTTGTGCATCCACCCGCACCAAAAAGGCCCTCTTGATCGATGATGACCCTGATGAGCAAGGCCTTGCAGACCCCTGGATGGGAGGCCGTGACCCGTGGTCTCAATCTCGTGCCCAGTCAACCGCCCCTCCGTCCTCAGCTTCCTCTTCGCCTGAGGCTGTGTTAAAGCTGGCGCAACTTGAGACCGACCTCAAGGCAAACCTTAAAACCATGCTGCAACAGACCTTGGATGAACGCGACGCCTCAGGTCCACCACCAGGCCTAAGTGAGCAGGATAAGAGGTTGCACACCCTGGAGACCAGCGTCCAGGAGCTACGACATCAGGGCACAAAATTCGAAGGCTGGTTTCAGTCGTTTGGCACCAAAGTCGCCGATCAGGCACAGCAGCTGGAACATCTCGCCAGTACGGTGAAAGAGCAACAGGCCGAGTTGAGCCGGGTGAAAACTGACGTCCAGCAAACCGTTCAATCTGCAGTGGGATCGCTTCAAAGCGAGCTGACCAATCAGATGGCAGCGCAACTTGCCGGGCAGATGGAACAAATCACTGAGCTGTTTGCCTCCAAAAAGGCCCGGCATTGACTAGGCCCGCCCAGCCGCCCTCGCGGGCATGGGGGCGGGCTGTTTTCTTCTTGTCGCCCAACACTGCTTCGGGCATTCCTTTGGGTGGCTCAGTGGTGCTTTTTCTTCGCCTGTGCACCGGTTGGATTTGCCGCAACTCAGTCTTGTGATCTGGTTCGCCAAGCTGAGACGGTTGATCAATCGGTCCGCGTTGAGGTCTTTCGTTATGGTGAAGCCGAGCACCCTGGCCCGGAATCCCACTCCTTGTTCTCCGTTAGCACGAGCAATCCTTCAGGTCTTCGTACCAAGGAGCCACATTTTGCTGTCTGGGGGCCAGGCATACACTGCTTTTCCGAGACACAGCTCTCGGCCATCACTTTCCCTGCCAGCAGGCAACAATTTCGTCTTAGTGCCCGGTCACTTGGCCGCGATGTTCGGGTCCTTTCGGGGGCCCATGCTGCCCTCCGCGTCAACAGCTTGTGG